AACGACACTGAAAGGACGATCGGGATCTGACAGAGCCAGTATTAGTGCATGCAGGAGGCTGTCTTTGATCTCGTCAAAAGCCTCCTGATGCTCGGTGTTTCAACACCATTCCGCATCCTTTTTAAGGAGATTGGATAATGATCGGGCCATTTCTGTATAGTTTACGCTGTACTTGTGCACGTAATTGGCGAGGCCGAGCCACTTACGCAAGTCCTTCTGGTCCTTTGGAACCGGCCAGCTACAATGGCCTTGACCTTAGCGATATTCCGCTTGAAGATCTCGCTTTCCAATGTAGCACTCTAAAAAGTGAGTCTCTTTTACGCCAAAGATGCACTTGTCTGCATTGGCGTACAGCTTGTTCGTGCGCATGCACTCGAGCACCGCTCTTAAAAGGACGGTGTGCTTCTCGTGCTCCGCACGACTATGAACGAAAATGTCGTCAAAGTATGTCTGTGCATACGCCCTGTGGGACCTGAAAAACTGCGTCACAAAACTATTAAATGTTGCTGGCGCATTTGACAGCCCTTGGGCATCACCAGCCACTCCCAGAGCATGCCGCTAGGAGTGCTCACCGCTGTTAGCGAATATCACTCGCTCTTATAAACAATTTATAGTACCCAACGACCAAGTCGAGTGCACTGTACTTCGTACATCCTACCATGTTGTTCTGACGAACACCCTTTCCAGGATTCGGTGTCTGTGCCGGATTGGTGGCAGCGTTGAGCTTATTGTAAGCATGAACGATACGACACATGCCGTTCGGCTTCCGAATACAAATGTGGGTGTCGAATGGGGAGACTTGCTCTCACTCATCATCCCTGCGGCGTGCTTCGCACGGAAAAAGGCGTCAATGACGTCGCACTGTTCCTTGGGCAGGGGTCATTGGCGTGTTACGCAGTATTTGGTTCCCGGAACCAGGTCAATCTCATGACGCACACTTTGATCCGGAGGTAGGACCGAAGACGGGTCTTTGGAAACGACGTCTTAAAATTCCTTTACCAAAGGATAATACGAATCCAAGGGATTCCATAGGATCGACAATCCACATCGTGCGTTCAGCACTCTCTTAAAATCCTCCAAGACAGCTTCATCTAGAAGCGTTGACGAGTTTATCTACTCCTTCAGTCGTACAATGACCACTTCGGCCAAATCGCCTGCCTTCAAGGCACTGCCGATCTCTTAAAGAGACATCTCGTTTAGCTCAAGAAGGGCATCTACTGCAGGCATAGCCTCGAGGCGGGCGTCACCATCTTCCTCCCCCGTCATACCGTTGACGAGGGTGTATAACAATGCGCCATCGTCTACGGTCGACACACCCTGGATCAGGGTTGACGCCCGGCGTCTTGCAGCTAGCATACGGCGTCGCCGTCGCCTCTGTACAGAGGTTCTGTGTCTCGGTGAGACCAGGGTGAACACGCACTCCGCGTCGTCCGGTGTCACCCTCACTGTCCGCTCCTTTGAAGCTCCGATGATATCTACAACATCCCGACGAAGAGCTGCTAATCCCGCAGTCTTCGCCCAGTGGATACCGTGCCACTCCACGCGCATCATGGGGGCTTCGCCCTCAATGCCTCGGCCCTTGGCCCTTGGCCGACCATGTCACGCATGACATGCAGCGACTGCTCCAAAACTGAGCAGCGCTCATTGGGTTACGTACCACTCTACGATCAGCCCCCGAGCCACGCACGGGACTCCTGTCCGATACACCGTTGGTGTCTACCAGCTCGGACATTCCATTGTCCAGCACGTTGACCGTCTCGGTCCAGTGCTCTCGCCAATAGCGCTTTTGTCTCCTAGCAGAGGTGGGCTCATGATTCGCCAAAGCTCCATTAGGAGACGTGCGCGTAGCGCCCAAGGTCTCTGACCTCCAATCCATGGATCATGGTGTTCCGACCATGCCATTCCTAGGATGAGGTCATACCTTGCATCCAAGTCTAAGACGAGACAGCGTTCCACGCTATCAAAGTCAGAAAATTTGACTATGAAATCCACGGGGACCTTCGGGGCCGTGACACGCGTCCCCGTCGCCAAGCGAACAGTGACGATATCACCCAACCTCGCTTTCAGCGCCTCAGCATAAAGCTGACTCCCTTTCATCGTAGAGCGTCGTGCATAATTGCCCGACGTCCCGGAATCGATGAGGATCTTCCATGGCTTCTTATAGCCCTTTACCGTTGCCTCCACGACCAGCAAGTCCGGCTTGCATACACGTTCCGTGTTCATTAGCATGGAGCTCTTCGGGACTGGGCCCTGTTGACCTCTACCTCCCAGAGGCTCAACAGAGCTCAGTTCTTCCCAAGTAAATCGTCCCGCGCCTACTGGGTGGTGTCGTTTCCCCGCGACGAACCAGACTGGTAGGCATTGGG